TCTGTTGGACACGATCATTCCACGAACGGCGGAGAGCGACCACTATCTTCTTTCTTGCGTCGGATGCAAGAGCTACTTGTCAAGGCATGGGACCAGATGGCTAAGACGCAGCAACGCATGAGCCAACAGGCCAATCGTCAGCGTCTTCCTTGCCCATTCTGCTCGACGATCTCGTTTGGGTTTTCGCCGCATAGTTCAGCGTTGAACAAGATATCTGTCGCAAGCTCCTCCCGAAATGGGTGGGGCCCTGGCCGATCGTGGAACCCACTGGGGATGCACCTGAAGGACCTTCCTTCACCATTCAGGTGCCCGCCCACTTGCCCGTCTACCCGGTCTTTCATTGCTCCAAGTTGGCTCTTTACACGCCAGCGGAACATGATGATTTTCCCGGGCGTCGATCGCAAGACCCACCCTGTATGGACGGTTTTCAAGAGGTCAGCGACATCATCACCCAGCGACGCTACGGCAACAGGCCAACCGAGTACTTGGTACACTTTGCGTACTGCACTCACAAAGCTGACCATCGGTTGACCCGTGCGGAACTCCAAGCAACAGCTCCAGATGTTCTCGTACGCTACGAACGCAAGATGCAAGGCAAACCGGTATCTTCAGCTCCACGTCCCACCCGCGTCCAGGTTCCACCTTCAGATCGTCAGCTTCGCCCTCGACCCGGCTTGACTTCATAAGGGGGGGGGGTGTTGCATGCTGCGCCTGCAACAGGCTGCACGGGCCATTTTCAGGCCCGTGTAGTTTCCAGCCTGAGAGCCTGAAAACAAGCGCCTACAGGCCCTGTGTTGTTTCAGCCTGAAAGCCTGAAAAAAAGGGCCTACAGGCCCTGTGTCGTTTCAGCCTAAAACAGGGCCTTTTCGTCCCTGAGTCTTTTCAGCCATAAACGGAGGGCCATTTTCAGGCCCTCATAAGATCGACCTGCCCTGAAACTCAGGCACCAGACCAGGGTTTTAGCTCAGGCCATTTTTGGCCTATTTTCAAACAGGGCCTTTTCGGCCCTGAGTCTTTTCAGCCATAAACGGAGGGCCATTTTCAGGCCCTCATAAGATCGACCTGCCCTGAAACTCAGGCACCAGACCAGGGTTTTAGCTCAGGCCATTTTTTATTTTCAAGACCACCTTTGTTTGAGCTTCAACGCCAATGTCTGGCACGTTTTGGCATTGGCAAGAGCAGCCTCCTGGACAGGCCACCACTATATAAGACCGGCCCGCCCTGCAGGCTGCAGGTAGTTCCTAGGTACTTCCCAGGCGCTTCACGTGCAGTTCAGGAGGCAGGAGGTAGTCTTCAGGATTCGGCAGCAGCACTCTGGAGGAGTGCTGCAGGAGTATTAGTAGCATTAGCAGTAGTCTTCAGCGCTGGGCGCTCGTCGGTGCTGGAGTAGTACCGGAGAGAGAGAGAGAGAGAGATTGGGCGGAGGCCAGGGAGGCCAGGGAGACTTACCTGCAGTGCCATAGCTCCAGCTTCGTCTTCGAGGTACCTGCAGCACAGCGCCACCTTCACAGGTTAGTACCTGGCATATGAGAGAGAGAGAGAGTTCTCCTTCTTCCTCTTCTCAGTCCACCATCTCCCTCTCACCCTCTCGCTACCTGACTTCACTGCATCAGCAGACTATGAGAGAGAGAGAGAGCTTGGTGACATTTGGACCCAGACTCGACATGCACTTCAGACATTTTGACGAGGGATTATTTGGGACTTGTAACGAAGACTTGGTGTTGACAACTCTCCCATCTCCCCCCGTCCTCTTCTTCGTCTGTTTCCCCCCTCTTCGTCTGTGCATGAATTGGACCTGGCGCATTCTTCCTGTCTGTAGCGCCAGCCCCCTTCACACCTTGTGACAACGATGATGTATGTTTGGTCTGTACTGCGACATTGATTGGGCTAGTCATTGGTATTCAAGCATTCTACTGCGCTGTCTTGCACTACGTGAAAGAGGTCAGTCCCAGTCAGGTCAGGACTTGTATCTAAGTCTTCCACTGCGCTATAAAGCATCATTTTTGTATATATCAGAATGTACACTGCTTGTTGAGTTTCTACTTGCACTGCACTGTCCATTCAGTCCTTTTCATCACATTGCGGATCCTCGGTTATATATGTACATCGCCCAACTGGGCATGTAACACCTTGTCTTGGGCGCCAAGGCAATATCAAGAGAGTACACTAGGGCCGACAGGACCTGAGGATAAAGGTCAGCTGGCAGGCAGCAAGGTGAAGAAGGGAGAGAGGGTTCCGGAGAAGAGTGCTACAAAGAAGGATGTTGTGATGATGAAGAGGGCCATTGATCCCTGAGCTGGAAAAGGAATGAAGAGTGCCACTTAGCAAAACAAACAACACAGCCTGATTTTCAGATAGATAGATAGAGGGTAGTGTGGTCAGTGGTCTTCTCCATCTTGTCTATGCCGTAACAGTAATGCTACCGCAGATGTGCGTTCCACTGTTTCTTTCCTGCTTTCAAGACAGATATAAGGTTCATAACGGACTTAGACTCAGCTTATAAACTTTGTGTCAAGTTGCCAACTGACCATGGACAGTGCGAGGTCATGAATTTGTGCAGTTGTGATTCCTCTGAAATTATCCCAAGAGTTGCAATGTCCTCCACGAGATAGGTTCTTTTGTGAACTCATCTACCTGCTCCCTCAACCCTTTTCAATCCCCCATGCTTTTCCGAGTATTTAAAAAACAAACTTTTAAAAGGCTCATTTTCATCAAACCACCAGTCCCATCAAGCATATTTGTACGAACTGAATTAAAGAACATCCAAATGTAACTCCTACTTGGGTGATACCGACTTTGATAGAAATATTCTGCAATGAACCAAGACAGATGAGAAGCTCGTGAATGTCGAAATACAAGTCTAGCTCAGCGCAGCATTAATGTCTCCAAAATTCGTTTATCAAATCATGCCCGTCGTAGATGTAGTCTCTCAATGACTCGAACTCAGAGAAGGGAGTGAGGAGAGGGGGAGAAGAGACTGAGAGGAGGAGGAGGAGAGTGTTCACAAGTATCAACAAAGCAGTAGTCTGTCCTCAAGCCCACTTTCTCCTCGAGCATCTCCCTCACTCGCCACATCAGCAATGCAGTTCCCCTCTGACGATCTCTGGCATAAACGAACAGGTCACAACAGGACGCCCATCCTCCATCCGCATCAGCAGCAATAAAGGAGGATGGCATAGATCTTCCTCTTGGAGACAAGCAGCGAAGCACACATGACGTCACAGGTAAGTCCAGATCAGCTTCTCCTCATCACATGCACCAATCTCACAGTCCAGATCCCCTTCCTCCTCGCCCACACTCCTATCAACGTCGAAATAAATGTGGCTATGGCCACGCCAGCATAATCTCCCTCAAGGCTGGCGCCCACACTCAGAATCTGGCGCCAGCATAAAACTCAAGCAGCCTTGCGTCGTCGCACCAGCAACAAGCCAGCGCCAGGCAGAATGCACAAGGCAGAATGATCTCCAAGCCAGGTCTGGGTCAACTTACACCGTTCACTCACGTTGACCAGCCTCGGTCTCCTGGGGTCGACGGCCCAGATCAATCGGAAGCCAATGGCCTGGATGTTGTACAGTTGCAGATTTCCCACGTGTCCCACTTGGACTGGATTCTTCTGGATACCTGCGAACAACAAATGATGCGCATCTGATGTACGGCCGTGGCTGACCATCGGGTTGACTTTGACATCTGGGCTTGGATTCCTGTGCTGGGGTTGACTGTTGACTTTCTCAAAGTCAACTGTTCCTCGTAGGGCATATGAATGCTGGTTTTGGCCCTCCCCTGGGTACCCCTTGGCCTCAGGCCTTTGCCCAGGCTCTTCTTAGACTTAGGGCGTGACTTTTGACCCTGAAAGGCCTTTTTCATGCTGCAGATCCCAAATTCGAATTTGGACTCTTCTTGTCGGGTACCGGACGGACTCCTACCGACCTACGACGCTTCGGTACCGACACCTACCGACCTACGACGTTTCGGCCTCTAGACCCTACGGCCTACCCTACTTGGACGGCCCTGGGACTTGGGACTTGTCGGGACCCTGGGACCGGGACTGGGTGTCTGCAGCGTGAATCCTTTCAGTAGGGGGGTATGGGGGGTTATAGTGGTGGTTTGGGGGCGGTTT